ACATACTCCTTTTCGGTGGGGACCTCAATCATCTTGGCGGAAGTTTCCCTCCATTTATTAAAGAAAGAAGTAAAGCCTTCATTCTCTTTTTGTCTTAGCATCTCAAGTTGTCTATGATCGGTTTCAACCTGGATATTGCACTTGTACCTATCAACGAAAGCATTCACTATTGATTCCCAAGTAGAGGTTTTCTCCTTGTCAAGGGAGAAGTACCATTGTTGGCAAACGGTTTCAAGAGATAGTGAGAACAGAGAGGGGAAAACCTTCTTATCGATACCCTTAATGTTAATTATAGTTTCAAAAGCTCTTAGATGGAAGTAAGGGTTATCTGTTGCCTTGAATTTAGGGATGTCAGTGGCGTTGAACTTATGCGGAAGAAGTTCCTTGTCCACCGAGACCCCTTGTGAACTCATGCCCTGAAATTTGTAGTCACTAGATAGTTTGCTCAAACTTTCTTGCATAAGGTTCATTTGTTGTTGCTTCACGGGATCATCGATCTTGAGTGTGAGTAGCTTCAGTGTCTTAGTCACGTTAGTCAATTGACTCCTAAGTTCATTATCTTCCTCTTGAGTTGCCATTATCTTTTTAGCCTTCCTCTTTTGACGAATCGGTTTATCAAAAAGTGAGACTTGAATAAAGAGGTTGTCCTTGATTAATCGCCCTTCTTTCCTCGACCAAGTACTGTGAAAAAGGAATTTGGGGATATTTATTGTTAATTATTTGACTCAAACTTCATTCAATATTCAATGGATGGAAGAAGTGAAGAAATATTGGAATAGAATGTGAAAAAAGAAAAAGATGATGGAGGTGGAGGGATATGAAGAATTAGGAATAGAATGTACCCCCCAACTCAAATGACGGAAAAAAAACCGACTCGTGCATGAACCTAAGACATGGTCATGGTGATGTGTACTCAAAGTGTGTGATAAGACTAGTGAGTTTAGGTGACATGTTAAGACTCGTGTCATGACCATGTGGCTAGACTATGTGACTAAGACTCAAACAAAGACTAAGTTAAGAATTCACGTATATGCATTAAACTGGACAGACTATGGTATTTTAGTCATAACTTTTTATCTGTGACTCGGATTTGGATTAAACCAATGCCAAATTAAAGATAAAACTCAGGGCTACAGATCCATAATTTTAACGACTCGTAGTTCTTTATATAACTCTGGTTATGACCAAAACAAGTTGACGTTTGTGCAGTATACGGGAATAAAAATCCGGGCTGACTTAAAGGAACTATGACTCGATTTTATGTTTATTTATTAGCTTAAATTAATTAATTAATTAATTAAACAAAGTCCTTTAGTCATTAATCAGTTTATTTAGTCTTAACACAAGTCAACAAACGGTTGGGAAAAATCACATAGAGTATGCACAACAAATAATGCACAATTAGTCAAGTAAGCACAATATGATGCAATGAGTTTGCAACCTAACCATGGCTCTATTTCTCTAAAGTTCGGGATATGGTTTAGTCAACAGAGGGTCCATGGATAATTGTCCAGATGCACCGCGCGGAAGCCTAACCGTGAAGGGTTGGCGCGAGTGGATGGGACACCGCGAGTTTTAGAAAAAACTCGCTTCCATGGTTTGGTGAATTCAACAATCTCGGATGTACCCTTTATTGCACGGAGCGTTCAATCGGGTAGATGGAGCATGAATTCCCCAGAGGATTATGTCCATATGTAGAACACATATGGGTTTCAGAAAAGTGAGAAAAAATGCAATCAGGAAGTAGGATCAAGCAAACAATACGAAAAATCGGTCGAAATTAGAACGCATATTTCTGGCTCGGTATTGGGGGAAATTGGCGCCACCAAATAGAGAATGGCGCCAGCTTTTAACTGCAGCGCCTGGCGCCAATGCTGGCGTCTTTTCCAGTTTTGCGCGGTGTTATTTCAGTCCTAGTTGTGAAATATATTTCTCAAATTTCCTACGTTTAAAATCCTATGTTTTTAACTCATTACGGATGGTCTTTCCAATGAGATCTTTTTTATGCATATGAAAATGATGTTAATCAAAATTACGCACATGAAATATTTAGAACTTTTCGAGTCTCATCCACTCATTCTAAATCATTGCCGAAACAAATTCAGGAATTAAAATAAAAATCCTCCCCAGTGGAGTTGCCAAAAGCTGTAGGGAATAGATTTCAAGCTTTAATCCCACTAGCTTGAACCCCAGTGTGATCATACACTAAAATATGGTGGCGTCCAAAAAGGGAAGAAGATAGAGCAAAAGAGTCCCCAACAAGTTTTGGGAACATGTAAACCATTCACAGGTTGAAGGTTACACCCCTTAACGATCTAAGAGATCGTCAACTCCATAAGGTCTTGAACCAAATAAGAGTTCGGGGATGAAGGTACAAATCCAACCTAAAAGAAATTGAACCTGCCCTAATAATAGGCCTCTACTTTATTCTGATCGTATTCATGTGCGCTTTCTAATTAACATGCAATCAATAGGATTAATCCTAAACCTGTTTATCTATGTTGGTTGAATTTAATGCACAAATAAATCTATTATTGGCGATCACTTGAATTATAATCACAACTAACCCTAACAAGATTATTAATTATCTTATTAAGCGTGATTACAAGTATAAATTCCCTTTAAACATGCATAAAGGCGTGATCAAGCAATAACAATAAATATCAAGCAACATAATAATAATCATGAATAATAATTATAATAATCATAACAATAATAATAATAATAACCATAATCATCACAAATTATAACAATTATAATCATAATCATATTCATGTTAATATTAAAGAATAATAAAAATAGCAAGATCCTAGGCATGATACTAACAAGATTAATAACAAACCCTAGCATGTCACTAAGCAATAAAGATCAAATCTTTAGCCCTAACATGATACTAACAATCATAAATATTAGAAAGAACATAGGAAGCATCGCAGGAATCATAATAAGCATATTTGATATTATAACCTTTTCCCTAAACATGATACTAAGAATATCATAATAACAATATAAGCATGATATCCACATCATAATATCAATTAATCAATTAAAGCACTTACTTTGATGCCTCGTACCTCTTTCTAATAACAAAATACACACGTTAGTAATTTCAAGAAAAATAATAATCAAAACAATTAAATTAAATAATTGAAAGAGAGATTTGGGACCAAACCCTCAGAAATTAAACCTTTCACGTCTAGGGCGAAGGCAACTTCAAATATGGCTAGGTGTTTCTAAATCTTGTGAATGCGGAATTTTGTATGAAAAAGTAAAGTAAGAATTAAGAGAAAGAGAAAGAAAGAAAGATGAGAGAATTAGAAAACTGATTGTCGGTGAATAATCGTGAGAATTGGTGAATGTAGGTGAATGAAAACGGAGTTTTTAATACGTTATTTATAGAAAAATCAGCCAAAAAGATAAAATATCAAAACAGAGCACTTGGCGCACGTAAAACAAGGTTGGTGCACGCAAAACAGAGCTGGCGCCAGCACCAGCTAATTGGCGCTAGGCGCCAATGGCTAGCACCAGGCGCCAGGCGCCAAGCCTGGTTCCAGGCGCCAATGCCTGGTTCCAGGCGCCAGGCCTGTTTTTGACGCGTTTTCGAAAATCAGATAAGTTTGCCGTACTGGAGGATAAAATCGTATCTTTTCCTCGAAAATGCTTTTTGATTTTAATTAAAACTCTGAAAAGTCAACAAAAGTCAATTTATCAATGCTAATTGAATTAGGAATGAAAAGAACCTTCTAGAAGAATCTAGAAGACTAAAACCATTCCTAATCGCATTAGGAATGATAAACCATATTAGGCCCTCCCCTAGATCATTGGGCCGTATATAAAGCTCAAACCGGGCCTAGTTTAGTAAATTGGCATAACTTCCTCAATATTCATCGGAATTGGGCTTATAATATATCGTTGGAAAGATCTTGTCAATCCCCATCCAACTACACTACTATTGGACCCATATCATGGACCAACCAAACTGGCTTGGCTGTTTTCTTAAAATAAGTTTTTCAAAAACAGAGAGAAAAGAAAAGAAATTAAAACTTTCCGCAACACTAGACTTTCCACACTTTCACTTCATTCGATTAGGATTCGACGCGAAAGGTACTCATCACTGGGTTTGGTTTTGGGGAGACACAAATGGGTGTCTACACACAGCCTCACGAATGGAAGGAGAAATATATTTCTTGCGTTTGTTGTTGGATCATGTTAAGGGCCCCAAATCATTTGAGCATTTATGAACTGTGAATGGAATTGTTTATCCTACTTTTAGAGAAGCAACTGAAAAACTAGGTCTTATGGAGAATGATGCAAGCATTGGTGATGTTTGCATGAAGCATAAAAGTTTAAAATTCCATCATCATTGAGAAGATTATTTGTTATGTTGTTGGTTTATTGTCAACTAACTGGGGTTCGATCTCTATGGGATGAATTTTATCATTACATGGCTGAAGACTACTTCTATTCAACTTCAACAAATCCAGATCCGGTATGTGATTAAGTTCTCTATGACATAAATTGCATGTTAAAATAATTAGGAAAGAGTGTAATGACTTCAACTTACCTAAAATAAACATGCGATTGGATGGAAACGCAGAAGTAGCTAGAGCCATACATGATGGATTATCAGCACTAGTGCCCCCTGAAGATGTGCATTGTGCTGAGCATCTTAATGACGACCAACCGTCTTTATTTGATATCATTATGGAAGCTATTGATGTATAGAATGGTCGAATTTTCTTTGTAGATGGTCTAGGTGGGACAGGTTAAACCTATCTATATCGAGCCATTCTTGCAACAGTCAAGCTTAGAGGGAAATTTGGATTACCAGTAGCCAGCTCAGGTATTGCTTCTACACTATTGCATCAAGGAAAAACCGCTCATAAAACTCTTGGTATTCTGGTTGCGCTACATGCTTCGTCAACTTGGAAGTTTAGTAAACAAGATGTAGAGGCGCAATTGGTCAAGTATGCTGCTGTCATAATATGGGATGAACAACAATGACTAATCGACATGTGTATGAAGCGATTGATCGTAGTTTAAGAGATCTATCAGGGGTTGATATTCCATTTGATGGCAAGGTTATAGTGTTTAGTGGAGATTTTGGACAAATTTTACCTGTTGTACCAAAAGGAACAATGGCACAAACTATAGATGCGTGTTTGGTCAGGTCAACACTGTGGAGACATGCTCAGCTACTCCATCTCACTCAAAATATGAGATGAATACATGATCAAGAATTTTCATCGTTTCTTTTAAGAGTTGGAGATGGATGTGAGCATACAGTTGATGAAGACATGATAAAGTTACCAGCTTCAATATGTGTAGGAAATGGTGATCAAATTTCAGTTAATAATCTAATCCATCAAATATTCTTAAACCTAACTGAGCACGTAGGTGATGTTTCATACATGGAACAAAGAGCTATAATAACTCCAACAAATGACGAAGTTGACACGCTAAATGAGAAGATACTTCAAGATTTCGTCAGAGAAGAAAAAATCTACTACTCATGTGACTCCATTTCAGAAGATCGTCAAAATGTCTATCAGTAAGAATTCTTGAATTCATTATAAAGGAGTTATGTCTTCGATAATTGCAAATACTAGATATAGCAAGGATCATTATTATGGAGATAATAACTTCATTCTTTTGGGTCGCCATTGTTAGTTGCTAAATATGACAAATGATCTTTGGGCTAGTTAAATAGTCGAAGCCCAATAGAATGGATCATATGAGGTCACACACAAGGGTATTGGGTTAAACAAGTAAAAGGCCCATTAATGGGCCTCATGAGATTATGACATACCATGTAAAATGTTGGGCTAGAGTAGTGTGTTTGGGATAAGGTGTTTGGGCTTGACATAGACTCTTATTTAGAGATGTGATCTATAAATAAGATTCATGCCTAGGGTTACAGTAAGTCATAATTAACTTATAGTAAGTTTGACATCAAAGCAACCATGTCCCAAAAACCCTATCCACTCTCCTCACCTCATGGCCCTACCCTCTCCTCTCACGTCCGTACGTGCGGCGTCCCCCTTGTGGTTGCTCGTGGTGTTTGTCGTGGTGGTTTGTGGTTAGCTTGTGTCTCTCTTATCCGTTGAAGGTTGATTGAAGCGTTCAATTACGACTAACTGGCATTAGTGGAGGTTCAATTTTGCCCGTGGACCAAGTAGAGGAATCACGCTTGGGGTTCTTTATCTCCCATTGTTCTTGCTCGATCGCACGTGGAATCACGCTTCAAAGGTACGATTATATGTTCTTTATGTGTTATGCATTAGATCTTGGGATTAGGTACTGTATAAACTCCTTCACTTTATCCTTTGGTGGTTTGCCACCACATATTCTAAGGTTGAAAGTTGGTTCACCAATCATGCTTCTGAGAAATATTAACACAAGTAGCGGATTGTGTAATGGGACAAGGTTAATATGTTTTTAGTTAAAGGATCCTGTGATTGAGGCTGAAATTTTGACTGGAAGTCACAAAGGGACACGAGTATTCATTCCAAGTATTCCTTTAAAAACGGTAGAAGATGTGAAGTTGCCATTTTAAATGATCAGAAAATAAATTCCAGTAAAATTGTGTTTTGCTTTGACCATAAATAAATCACAAGGGCAAATCATTCCTCATGTTGGTATATATCTTCCCCAACATGTTTTCAGCCATGGACAATTATACGTTGCACTATCAACAGGGACATCACAAGAAACAATCAAAGTTTTTGTTAGCAAAGGAGATATTCGAGGAAGATGTGGTGTATTTACAAAAAATGTAGTTTACAAAGAAGTCCTCCTGCCTCATTTGCCACAACCCTAATTATTAGGTATTATCATTTAAATTATACATGCATACATGCATAGCTAGCTTCCATTTTCATAATCATCTATGAAATTAATTAACTTTTTTATCTTCTTATCAGGGACCATTCTAAGCGTAATGAAAGACAACGACTGAGCATCAAAACTGTATATATAGAAGGAAGTTCATCTCATGATACTCTTTAGGATGTTTGTATTCATGGTTTTGATTTTGTAATTTTTCTATTGCATTATCTCCAAGTAAGTACACTTAATATGTGTAAACAATTTTGACTCTTGATATCCAAATAATAAGTAATATACATGTCTTTCTTATTTTGTGCAGGCATAGCGTGTATATCTTAGCTTGTGGGAATAATCCCATGCTTAACGCACCATCAAGCTCCATCATCAATCATCATCATCATCATCATTCTGCCACCGCTCATCCTCATCATCTATCATCGAGAATCAAATCAAGACCGTTCGATCTCAATTAATAATCACGTGCAAAGCTCGTGATATGGTTTGTTAAACACCCCAAAGACCACGCCAGTGGAAGAATAGGCCGCGCCGGCGGTGGCCTGAGCCGCGCCTTCTCCCAGGCATCTCCTCGGCATCTCCCACTTCAAATGTTAAGCTCTAATTGAAATTGGGCCCGCTGTGGAAGAGGCTGCACCCGCGGCGAACTAGGTGCAAATTGGGGCTGATTTGTGACGGTTTGCTAGTTGAATTCGGAGATTAAGGAGCTGTGTATGATGGTCGGTTGTTGATGGTGGTTGCTGCTGTTAGAATTGGAGCAGGGGAGGCTGATGAAATCATGTTTGGTGGTTGCGGACTATTGTGGGTTGAAAGGTTGGTTTTGAGGGCTGGAATGCGGGCTGTTTTATGGTATTGTGAGTGGAGCTAGGGAGGTGCAGTGAGTGGTGTTATTGATGCCGCTCCTTTTGGTGGCTGTGTTTTGCTGCTGCCTCGATGGTGGGTGGTGGTTAGAGCGGCTGTGCGTGGTGTGAAATAGTGGGTGAGCGAAGTGGTGGTTGTGGTGTCTGTGAGATAAGGGGGTTTGTTGTTGCGTGGGAGTTGGCTGCTTGGTTTTTTTGGGTTAATTGGTGAACGGTGAAGCAGGGGTAATGAGATTTGGGGCTGATTGGGATGAAAGGAGGAGCAGGGGAGATGGTGAGGAGTGTGTGGTAGAGGTTAAGAATAGGTGTGGTGTAGGTTAGGGTGGCATCAACATGGGCAGCAAGGTCAGCAGCTTGTGAAGTTTGACTCAAACCCGCAACACCAAACACGACCTACAACAAAAACACGAGGGAATAATCAAGAGATATAATAAAATAAAATAAAGTAAAATAAAATGCTAAACTAAAATAAAGTAAGGATAAAATTAAAGTAAAATGAAATATTAAAACTAAAAGAAATAATAAAAAAAATTAAATTAGGTAAAATAAAGAAAATAAACATGGAAATAAAATAAAATAAGAAAATGAGAGAAAAGAGAAATTAATAACTAAAAATACGAAATTAAACTAAAATATATTAAAAACTACAAATATACTCAAAATAAAGAGACAAAAGACGAAAATAAGAAAATAAGAGAAATAAAGATTAAAAAGAGGAAAATTATTGGAAAATAAACCGGAAAATAAGCATAAAATACTTTAAAAGTGACATAAAGTCACTTATCAAACTCCCCCAAGCTAATCTTTTGCTCGTAACCAAACAAATTAACACGAAACACAAGAGAAAGGGAGTGAATTATTCAAGCAAAGCTAATACACTAAAGGAAATGAGAATGTACACTAACTCACTTTCATAGGAATCACGGTCAGTTTTAACAACAAAAGACAAGTCATTTAAACCTCTAGATTGCCCTAGAGGACGAGTGTGCTCTCGTGAGGGTTTCCTAAGAGCTTAACCCACAACTCTTGACAAAAACCAAGGCAAGGCAATAAAAAAGAAAACAGAAAGGAACATAAGAAAGAGAAAAAAAACACAAGTTCATATTTGGACAAGAGATAAGAACAAATAGAACAAATATCGGTGAATGCAAACCTTTCTAAATAGACAAATGTATGCACGTTCCAAGATGTCAATGGTTGATTGAAACATAACATATGCGAAGCATAGAGAACTAATGAGGACTCAATTCACCCTCGTCCCAACAAATCGGGCCGCGTTTTCTCCACTAGTTTCAAATTAACCTTCAAGCTAGCTTCTCATGATTCCTCGAAGGAACCGCAAAAAGAAAAAGAAAATGAAAAATCTTGAGAAGTTAATCCCGACATCTTAGCCATGCACACTTTCTCCAAAGGCTTGACAACTATCTCCCTCCACCCATATTGACTCAACCCTCAAGGGTCTAAGGGTCTTTTATTGGTTGTAACGTAAGGCTAGGGGTAAAAATTTGAAAAATTTGGTGATATTTCCTAAGTGAAGCAAAAGAGGGGCCAACTCTCAAAAACAAACTAAAAAAGTCACAACACCTCAAACAAAAATACCATCTCTCCCAAGCTTACTCAACAACAACACAAAATATATACAAAAATGAAGTAACGCTTCCCCCCCCCCCCAAGCTTGAACGAAGTATTGTCCTCAATGCTTAAACAAGGGAAGAAAATTGAAACCAACTAAAATATTTTTTTGTTTTTGTTTCTTTTCTAATTTTATGGAATTTTTAACTCTTATTTAACGTCCTTGCCTTTTTTAACTATGAACGGATTTTTCTTGAATGCATTTTCTTAATTAAACACAAGATATACTTATTACTTTCTTGCTTGGCCCAGAATAGCATAGTAATTTCTCATTTTCATTTAAACCATCTTAACACAAAACAAACCCTCAAACCAAAATGTTTCACAAAACTAAATGGTTAGGGAAACAAAAGGTCATTAGCTTTGAAATGTGGCTTATAATCAAGAAAGGGAATAGGCTCAAATGATTAGCAAGATAGGCAAATGAAAAATAAAAACAAAATTTGTAACAAAACAAAAAGAAGAAAATGAAAATAAACAATGCCCTTGTCCTCCCCTAGAGGGGCTCGGTCACGATCTTGGGGCTAGAGGTCAAAACAAGGATTAAGACATGGTAGCTAAGGATCCTTAATTGCCGCTAAACAAGGTGATGGAGGCTAGAACAAATGAAACTCACAAGTGATACATAGAAATTACTAACCAAGGGTTTCAAATCCACTATGAAGAGCAACTCCATCTTACCACATTCCCGTGAACTGAGGCTTCATGGAACCCAAAAGTTCTTAAGCCGACTACCTTAGCATATAATATCCTAAGCTAGAGTTAACCAATGACACACTCAAACTTTTCACACATTTTCTACTTAGGAAAAAAAACATTCAAGAATACAACTTCCAAAATAGAATGTCCAAAATAAAAATAAACAAAACACAATTTGCCAAAATTACCTTTAAAGTAAACAAAAATCTTTTTAGATTTTTCGAAATATAAGAAAAAACAAGGAAATGCATATACTCAAGTGCACGACATACATGAATTAACATCCCACCAAACACGATAGAATACCCTCCCTCAAGATTAAATGAGACAATATGCTCAAACATAAACCAAAGAGTCCAAGAGAGGGGAAAAGAAAGAAATCAATCCAATAAACCAACAAATGTCTAATAAATCACCAACCATTAGAGGAAGAGTAAGGAAAGATATTACCGGATATAGGTTGGTGTAAATACCCGCAAATGAACCAATTTAGGTCTTTTAAAGACAATTTCCTCTTGAAT